AGTAATTCAATGCACAGTGAACTAATTCGAATTAAATTCTCCGTGTGAACGCTAAGCGAAGCTAATTCGCAGTAACTTGACGTTCATTTCGAATTAAACTCTTCGTGTGAACGGGGCATAATATGAAGTAATTTAATGCGCAGTAAGCTAATTCGAATTAAATTAATTCGCATTAAATTCTCCGTGTGAACGCTAAGCGAAACTAATTCGCAGTAACTTTACGTTTAATTCGAATAAAACTGTCCATGTGAACAGGACATAAATATTTGAAAATTTTAACTATAGACAACATTTTATTGACTCTAGTGATGTAGTCTGTACATTTTGCACATTTTTAAACAAGTTGAATAAGTGAGAAAAAAATGCGTTTTGTCAAAAATATGTTTCATAATTAACGAAGAGTACTAGTGTACTTCTGTCATATATTTTTGTTTAATTTTAAGTTGTATGGTTACCAAATAAATTCAGATTTAAATTTAGATTATTTTAAAATAACTCCTAATATATTTCAAACGTATTCAAAAAAAAAGAACGAAAATGCTATCACGGAACAGATAAAAAAAATCAGTAATTCACATTTAACGCTCTTCCTTATGTATTTAATTTTTTTTAATTAATTGGCATAAAAATGAAAAAAAATAATTTTTATTACGTTCTGAGTTTATATCTCTCAATAAGATATATTAAAAAGACCCACACTGTCCATGAACTTTGCGAAGTATTCCTCGTACATGTACAATATTCCTAGTGGTCAAAATAGGATTCCAAACTGCATTTCAATGATTTTCTTTTCTTTTCTCGTGTAATAAAAAGTTTTATTTTTTAAATATTGCAATCTTCAGAATCGCGATAATGATAATTGACAAAGGTAATTCTTGCAATTTTAAAGTATAAAGAATATAAATCCAATCTGTAGTTTAAGAAGTAACATATACTCGTATATCTCAGCACCAAAAAAAAATATCGGAATGTGATGTTTTATTGTCATAAACAACATGATCAATGGCGGTAGCTATATGTATCGCATATAGATATTAGTACATACTACATTTTACATACTGGATATCATATGGAAAAGTAGTATGTATTATTATGTTTATTACATGTTTGATAATAAGTAATAGTTATTGTATATATATTTTGGTGTATCCTGAGTTATTTGGGCGAAGGGCGGTGACGAGTGCGAAGCACGAGTCTCCGCCCTTCGCCCAAATAACTCAGGATACACCAAAATAAATATTCAATAACTGTCTTGTATCATGGTCCAATTAAAAAGTTTACATTTGAACACGTGATTTTCTAAAATGATTATTCATTATCAAACAGTCAAACTCCAATGAAATTCAATTTTCCAATCACGTGAAAAATCTTTCCCGTTGCCCCGTGCAAATTGTACATAGCGCGACTGACAGTCACAAGATATGGACGCTCGTAATGATGGTAAAGCCGGAAAATACAACGAGTTCACTGGAAGATCTACCAAAACTTTTAAGGGGGGAATGGCGCATAAGGAGCTTTACAACAAACTAATAAGGCATTACTACCAGCCAGGTAATTTAAATCTGATTATAAAATTATTGCTTACAAGTATATTGTCTTTTATTACTGTATAGAGATTATTAGATCCGCCCTCCTTCATCTCGTTATGCCCCCCCCCCTTTTTATGTAATGTCCCCCTTTCATCTCGTTATTTACTTAAAATGTATACTTAGACTTGATGACTCCCTGGTATAAATATTGAACAGAGATCACATGAAAAATATGCCTATCGCATTTCATAATTTATATTAGATATTTTATTTGGAATTTTAATGTTGTAGGGAAGCGTTAAATGACGGATTTCTTCAAACGTTAAGTAGTGGCCCTTGGAAATGAAGGTCTGTTCTACAGACGGTGCTAGCTGGATCACCACCACGGTACGGCATTCAGACTGTCGGCGTTAACAAACTGAAATCTATGATGAACATAATATGTGATCGTGCGGGACTAAAGGGGAATTTCATCAATTATTCTGGGAAAAAACTTGCGTGACTGCATTATGACAGAGTAGAATTGGTAAGCAAAACATTATGGACTGGACAGGGCACAGATTGGAGATGGGACCCGGGCATTCAAAAGGTCAAATGCAGATATCGCTTGTAGAGTTCGTAGTTTTGGATTTTTTTTGTTTTTGTGTTTGGACCCCCCCCCCCCCCGCGACAACGCTTAGCGGTGAAGAAGAAACGAGTATTCCTATCGAGCGTGAATGTTGTCCTGAAAATCATGCAGAGCGCTTTGAGTGATATTACCAACTTGAGCAGTGGTGGAGCATTTCCTTACTTCCATAATTGCAGCTTTTCATTTCATTAGAAACTTGTGTACAAGTATACAACTGTCCAAGATGGATGTAATTTGAATATTTTTTATTTGAAAGGAAATTTCAAATTATTTTTTTCTTTTCCATACCTATAATGATTTTAAAACATTTTCAAAAATGTTACTAGAATAAGGTATGATGCAATTTTTCTTTTTCAATGGAACGTGACAGTTGTACAATAAATTATTTAAACAGGACAGTTTTGTTGTATAATGAGCTCCGCCCCTGCTGGTGTATCTCCAGTTATTGTACAGGGAATTTCAAAGGAAAAGTGCCGCAACGTTAACCATGATACAAGGAACATTATTTGCTTAGTGTCAACAACAAAAATTTACGTGTGAATTACCATTATTACTGTTTTTTATTATTTTTTTTTGTAAGAGTGATATTTCAATCGTTGCATGCAAAAAATTGTATTTATTTTAATTCAATAAGTATTTTGATACCCCGGTTACCCATCAACTGGTTGATTTCTTTCCATAATCCTTTCAAAGCTAGAACACCTTATCTTATCCTCCTTCAATGAGTAAAAAGTCTGTAAAACAGTTTGTCGTGTGTTGCCACCTTTGTGACGTTTAATAATTTGTTTGAAATTCTCAAAAGTATTATTAATAATGACATATAATTTTTAGCAGACACAAGATATCAACATGAGAAATAAAACCAATTTTGTAAAGGGAGATAATCCAAATTTACAGTAATTACCACTTAGATTTAACAGGAAAAATCATGAAAATGGGTCTGAAAACGCTAAAACATAAATTTAAACAACAAAGAAATGGCGGAGGCGGGGCGGCAGGAGGTAAATAACAAACTTTGAAACAACGTCCGTCCTCCAAGGATGTAGATGGGAGAAAAGGCAGAGTAATGCACCGCATGGTCAGAATTTCATTTGTTAGATTTTAATTGGTCAGATTTTGATTGGTCAATCTCTGCCTCTCCTACCACGGTAAGACATGGAACAAAATTAACATTACAAAGCACAGCTATACAGTATTTCAGACTTTCACATTCAAGGAGGACACTTATTGATTACAATAAAAATTTTTAAGTAAACTTAAATTTATTTATTTTAATTCAATAAGTATTTTGATACCCCGGTTACCCATCAACTGGTTGATTTCTTTCCATAATCCTTTCAAAGCTAGAACACCTTATCTTATCCTCCTTCAATGAGTAAAAAGTCTGTAAAACAGTTTGTCGTGTGTTGCCACCTTTGTGACGTTTAATAATTTGTTTGAAATTCTCAAAAGTATTATTAATAATGACATATAATTTTTAGCAGACACAAGATATCAAGATGAGAAATAAAACCAATTTTGTAAAGGGAGATAATCCAAATTTACAGTAATTACCACTTAGATTTAACAGAAAAATCATGAAAATGGGTCTGAAAACGCCACTGACTTGACCGAATTAGGGAAAGTTCAGACCCATGAAGGAAAAATAAATGGCAACACACCTCAAACATAAATCATACCAAAAGTGAGTAAAATTTACAAACATGGGAATAAACATATGTCCCGTAATGCAATAAAACAACAATTTGAATTCACAAGTGTCTTATGAGGGATAAACATATGCCCCCATCACAACCAAATGAGTTTACTATTCCTAGTGTATTATGTCTGTGGGTCCCAAGTATTAACGAATCACTATGTAGAATGTCCGATAAGGGATAAACGTATGCCCTTATAGTCGCAAATCATCATCTTATTCGCTGTTTTTTACTAAGTTCACATGTATGTGGTATTCATTTAAGAACTGTCTCGAGCAATGTTTTAGATGATGGATAGACATATGCCCCCATATTGGAAAATATTTCACACTGTAAGCTTCCGCACCATTTTAAATGTTTATATGCACGCGATCTTGTCACCTACCAGCCTAAGTATTAACAAATGACTTAGGCACTATTGTTCTGGATGAGGGATAAACATATGCCCCCATACGTTAATACTCTTGAAAATCACTTCAAAGTCGAGATCCTACACAAATAACAAAACAAATCTGCTCCGAGGAACCACTTCCACTCAAGCATATATCAACATGGTGTCACGTCTTATGTAATATTTAAATGCATCCGATTTCCATCTACCCAGGAATCTAATCTGACTATCGCTCATCCCTCGCGATGCACAGTAAGAGGCCATTCCGATTCGAAAGGAATGTCCTTTGAATCTATTGACATCCAAATTACAAAACATGAGACTTTGCTTTAATATGTTTGAAAATTCTTGCCTTGTGACTGCATTGTATTGGGGGTAGCAAAAAAGGGGCCGTGAAAAGCCAATAAAAACATTGTTTGAAATAATGCCCTTTTATATATGTTCGATATTGTATGTTCTAAAGCATCACAAATTTTATGCAGAACTACTATGGTTATTGGTAAACAAATATCCATTGAAGGTCTTGATTTGCGACAGGAACTTAATAGTTTCTGAATGAGAAAGCATGATGTATTGTCAGGCAAATTATTAATTTTATGTATATATGCTATTGATGAAATAAATGACATGATAGAGGAGGCTGCATAACCTTCAGCAAATAAATAAGAGATAAACAAAGCCAAAGTTTCCTGAGACAACGGAAGATCATTACTCATATCAAATTTGTTTGCAAAATTTCTATAAATAGACCATGCCCATTTATATGCTTGAGTGGAAGCTGGTGCCAATGTTGAAGTCAACAGGTTCCTCAAGACTTGTTCTAAGGAGGTAATGTTGGCAGATTGGGAATCACCGTTGGTTCTTTGTCCATCCAAGGAGCAAGTTGATGGAACTGCTGCACCTTCAAACGAGACAAGCAATCACATAGAATATTTTCCTTGGTACCCAGATGCCTAGCTTTAAACAAAATGTTAGACTGCAAACAAATTAGCACTAACTCTCTAACCAAATACATTATACTTTTATCCTTAGACGATTGCTTGTTAATGATATGCACAAGGGCATGATTGTCTGTGTAAAAGTAAATGGATTTGTTTTTAAAAATATGACTCCAAACTTTAAGAGCTAACACTATTGGGTAAAATTCCAAGAGAGTAATATTACATTTTTCCCAATTATCATTCCAAGTCCCATAGAACCAGTGCCCACCTAACACTGCCCCGTATCCTATAGATCCTGAAGCGTCTGTATACAGTTTTAATTCATTGGAATCAACCCACCTATCTGGTAAGAAAACCGACCTACCATTAAATTTTTCCAAGAAGGCTAACCAAGTACATAAATCTGCTTTTACTTCTTTGTTTAGTCTAATGCGATAATATGCTTTTGTAATGCCAATAGTAGTGTTGATAAGTCGCCTTAAGAACGCTCTACCTGGCAAGACTACATTACACGCAAAATTAAGAAGACCAATCACTGACTGCATGTCCTTCAAAGTAATCTTTCTGCTTGGTAAAAGCTGTTCAATTGTATCTCTACATTTTTTAACTTTATCAATAGGTAACCTTGCCTCCATCATCTCGGTGTCTAATTCATATCCCAGAAAAGTCATTACCTTGTTAGGACCAAATGTCTTATCCTTAGCCATAGGTACACCTATGTCGGCGCAAACTGTTAAAAATGCCACAAGTTTTTTGTGGCACTCTGTCGCAGATTTGTCAACAATTAGAAAATCATCTAATACATGAGTCATAAATTTAATTCCTAATTTTTCTTGTGCAATCCACTGAAGTGCTGTACTAAACCTTTCAAATATACGACAGGAAGAACTGCAACCCATCTGAAGACATGTGTCAAAATACCAATGACCTTGCCAAGTGAAACCAAAGTATTCAAACTGTGATGCATGTAAGTTGACAATTCGAAATGCATTAGAAATCTCTGTTTTGCAACAATATGATCCTTTCCCACACTGCTTAATGTTTTGAATAGCATCCTCTACAGAAGAGTATTGAACAAATGACTCTTCCTCGGGTATGCCATCATTGACAGACTCACCTTCCAGATATGACAAATGATGGATCATACGGTACTCACCCTCTGTTTTCTTACTAACTAGACCTAAAGGGGAACAATTTAAAATTGGCAGTGGTTTCTCTTTGAAAGGACCCATAATTCTACCCAAATTTATCTCCTTTTCTAACTTTTTGCTAATAACTTCTGGTAAGTCCAGTGCCGATTTTAAAATTTTTTGAAAGAGTATTTCTACTTTCCCCTGTGTAACCAATGTGGAATCCATATCAAAAAACCATTATAACTAAAAATTCTGCTTCTACCTTGTCATACCCCACCAACCAGTACTCTAATCTACTGGGATTTACTGGAGTTGGACCCTTTTGTGGGATAGGTTGGCTTTGAGAATTTAGCATTACCTGTGTTGGTTGATGTGCCATTTCCTTGAAATGGTTTTTGGGTTCTGGATTTGTCCAAGAAACGAAATGGCCGTTGAATTGGTTTTTTACATATGTAGATTGGATGGAAGCCACCACAGTTATAACATCTGTGCTGGAATTTGCATGATGAACCAAGCCTACAATACCTTCCAGCTTTGTGATAGGCAAAGCATGACCCCTGAGGGACTTCCTCATACGTACCAAATGACGCACGGTCTGGTGTTATTTTGCTTGACTTCTTTTCTGATTGTTTGAGGCGAGCAGTAACATATATCTCCATATGGACATCACCCCATTCTACCTCACCTTGTTCTATGAGTTCCCTGAACTCCTTATCATATTTTCTCCAGTCCCCCTTTTCCTCTGCAATTTGCCTTACTGATTCCATGTGTTTTGCAAGCTTTGGCTGTGCAAGTGTATCTTTAATGCAATATATTGTCACATACCTATTCCACGCAGTTACCCAGTCATGCAGGGATAACGAACCATCCCTAACTTCGTCGTCATCTGTAGATCGCATATTGTGGATTACCACCTTACCTGTCTGATCCTGTTCCTCTACCTTGATAGAATACTTACTTTTCCCCTTTTCCTTTTTTAACAACAGAGCCATATCAACATATTGTTTTGACCAAATTTTAGATTTTATTTTGTCAGAAACAGTTGCCTCTATCGGTACTGATGAGCTTACAAAACCTGATTTCTTACCAACATTTGCTGCAGATGGAATTTCAGTACCTACAATCTGTGAACTG